TCAGAAAGCGCAGCCACCTGCCAAACTGCACCCTCTGCCCTCAGAAAGAAACGGTCAAGCTGAGATATTTCAGAGAGCGGCAGAGGCCCCATCACCCTGCTCTCACGGGCACTCTGGGAGCCAAACAGGCTCAGAGTGGGAGAATGGCTTCACAGCTTGCAGGGACCTCATGATGCGTGGTGGAGCAGAGGTGGGCGGAGACTCGTCTGCATGCAGCACAATGGCGGAGCACAGGATCCCACTTCCTGCCACAGAGCTGGGTGGCACTGCTTTAGTTACAACTAAAACCATGTAAGGCTGCAGGTGTGTGGTCGTACTCTTTAAGCACGCTGTGGGGAAACACATTTGTTTGCTCACTAACATTGTGGCCACACCTCTCCCTTTTGTGGGCAAAAAGCAAGTTCATTAAACCTTAGAGTGAAGACTTGGCTTCAGGTTGGGGTACAGCTTTCATGAGTACTGAGAGGGGTCTCCATGAAATGTGAGGTCGAAGTAATATTCTCTAAAGAGATGAAAACACACCTGTGTTCTTAAAAACGTATATCCACTGCATTTATACTGCACGTTGTACTCAGTATACTGAGATTTCTGTGTTTCTACCATGTTTTTATGGGTTTTTTAAAAAATAAGATTACGATTTTCTACAGCTGTTTTTATTCCTCTGCACTGCTTGTGTGAAAAAAATAGTGTACCAGGTGACTGTATAGTTTGTTGTTTTTGCCGTTGTACAGGAAAAGTACAGGAACTGCTTTAAATCTTGTGTCGTATTTCAAACATGTTTTAATAAAACAAACTAAAAATCAACACAAATATTTCTGATGCTGTGAAAACGGAAAGGTAGCATCATTACAGTGCAAAATAGTCTTGATGAGTACTGTTTGGATAGAGTTCCACTGTCTTTGAAGCAGAAAAATATTTACACGATAAATATATATTTTCTTTATCACGTGTTGCTCAATCAGTGAGCTTCCTGCAGGCAACATTGAGACATAAACAGAAGGATGGCTCAAAGTAAAGAAGAGTGCACTGGGTATCCTTGTCCACGTTATCTGGATCGCTTATGGAGAAACATTTGTATATAAATATGCCGCTCTTTGTGCCACAACAGTAACTACTTAACATCTTTAAAGGATCAGCAAGGCGAGTTGATCTCAAGGCGTTAGGCTGTTGGGGATGAAGAGACGTGCTGCTGAGGCGTTGTCTCTCCAACCGATGAATGAACAAAGCTGTCCAAAGAAACCCAGCAGTCCTGAATCTAACTTGACAAACTTGTACAAAGTCTACGTCTCGTGCTGAAAGCTCTTCTATGATCACAGGTAGGTGCTCGGGTTCTCAGTGACAGCTAGGTGGAAGTACTCTGGCAGGCTGTCGCTCTGCGCGCTGCTGTTGGTCTCCCTCCGGCGGATTTTGGTGGACAGAGTCTTCCTCTTTTTGAAGCTGTCCCCTCCACGCTTCTCCAGACTTAACACGATCATCTCTGCCAGATCCTTCTGAAGCGACTGGAAGTTCTCCCTGAGACAGTAACATTGTTTTAGATTATTGTGTAATGATGTAAAACTAAAATTAGGTATCAGGCAGATTCTGAAAAACAATGTGGAACGGTAAAATATAAATTGAAAACCAAATGCTAGCCTACAATATATTTTATCTAATATTCAATCTGTCTAAAAGAAAACTACATTAAAAGGGGGAAACTGCTCTTTATGAACTCGGTGTGCATAACATTGGACAAGCTTTGAACCACCCCTTAGATCCATAGGTTTTTTGGATTGTGCCACAATTATGTAATTTTTTCAGATCAAATATTTTAAATGTGACTGAAGTGCAGACTTGCAGCTTTAAAACAAGGGGTTTAACAAAAACTATTGCATTACA